GAATCTGTACACCAGTTGATTGACGGTTGAGAGGCGGGACCAAAGAGCCAAAGCTCAACCCCGCAAGCACAATTAGGTGAGTACTCTTTACTGCTGCGCTGCTCGTCTGCGCAGCCCCCCCCCTCCCCGAGAGGGGAAGGGGGGGCCCAGGACCTTGAGATTATTTCGGGGCTTAGCGTCCCCGCATCCCGGTCCTCGACCAGGCCTCCTTTTTTTAACACATCTATAGGAAGCAGCCTGTAGCAGTTGTCCATCTCCCAGGTACCTATTTACTGCTAGGTGAACAGATGCATCAGGGTGAAAGAAACTCTGCCCATTTGTTTCCTCCTCTGCCATGGATCAAACCCAGAACCTTAGGACTACGAATCCCGAGCACTGTCCTCCACTCAGCCGTCAAGGACGAGGTCATTTCAACCACACCCATGTGAAGCCACTCCAAGATAACCTAACAGAGGGACAGGGTAGAAGCCTGACCCACCAGACCCCCCCCACCAGAGGGAGGAAGAGTTACCCAACACAATCAAAGGCCGGACAAGACAACCTAAAACGCCCACGAGTGGTGGGACCAAGCGTGGGCAAAAAGAGCCAGCCTTTCCCCCATCACCCCCATCAACAGGGTGACCCACAAAAGGGCCGACGCAGTCACCGAGAATCCGAATTCAGCACAGAGCGAGCACCACGCCTACCAGACGAAGAAGGTCCCGGGAAAGATACCGGCTCAGAAACTGGCACCAACGGCCCATCTCGACCCGAAGAAGCCCAAGCCCTGGTGCGCCCACTCCGAGAGATCCTGGAATGATTAGCTCCCCCCCCCCCCCAACACCAGTAAGTCAAAAAGAGGGCGGCAAATGGCTGAAGCCGCCAACAAAAACTGTGCAACACAGTCCTCTGTGAATAAAGGAGGACAGAATGGCAACAAAGACTGAAAAGCCAGGGGCCCAAGCCGAATCCATAGACAGCAAGGACGGCTCGCCGACATGTGAGGGGAGAGGTGAAGAATAGAGAAACCGCCTCTCAGAGTCGCCTCTCTGCCATCTGTCCTCTGGCAGACGACACCTCAACAGCTGAAACCAGAACCCCAGCCGAAGGCTTCCCTCACTCAACACTCCCACATCCTTCGAAAGCCAATCTAAGGACAGCTCCAGAAAACCGATTAAGTGCAAGCCTGAGGCAAATGACCACGAGTCCGCAGGTCATCAGCTGCCAAAGCAGCCGAAATAGTGGGAACCTGAGCATGCAATTGCACCAGACCCACATCACAAGAGCGCAGGGGCAAAGAGGCACTTATTGAGGAACTCAAGGGAGTTCCCCTTGAGTTCAAGGGGAACCTTGAATCTTGAGTTCCCCTCAAGAACCCCTACCCCCAAGAACACCTGTAATACCGAAGAAACCTCTCGCCACTCAAGCATGTGGGTACGACAAAACCTGCCCCAGGCTCTAAGAGAGCCTGGTGTGTGGCTTTTGTCTGCCCGCCAGTCTGCCAGCCAGGAAGACTCTGGAATCTCAAAATGCACCCAATATGGGGAAGAAGAACTGAACTTGAAGTAGGATCCATTAGAGGCGTAATCCGGGTCCCGTAGAAGGTAAGCACCAAGGGCCTCCCGAACCTCCGCAGAAAAAAATCTGAGAGAAAGGAAACCTCCAGAAGAACGAGTTCGAGGAACCCAAAGGCATCCCCGAACGAACCCAACTTAAATTCATACGGAGAAGGAGGATACAAAAACCCCCGCCCCTGCAGCAATAACCCCTGCCTGGAAGGCACAAGGGCCCAAGCAGGGTCAAAAGGAGCCCAAGTGCTCCAGGTAGACTTTCCCCGACACAGGTCCTGGGGGCAGAGCCCACATCCTTACACCCTATACCCCCCATCCCCTGAAGAAAAGACGAAGTCCTGTGGAAAAGCTTCAAAGAATGGAGTCTGCTGGGGTGACCCCCAAAGCTTTGGTGAGGAAATTAGGCTTAACCACCTCCACACCCGACTCGGAAGGGGCAGTCCCCGAAGCCACCCAAGTCTTATCCCGAGCTGAACCCCGCCCCCGACTCCGAAAGCCTCAGACGTTTGGGAGCTGGAAGCAGGGCCAATAATGACCTCCAGGGAAGGAAGCAGGGACACGAACAGAACCAAGGGTGAAGCAAACAATGCCCCCAAATCCTGGTCCCTAAAACCCAAACGCGGCACCTCCGGGGCTTCCAACTGGGCAACCAACCTGGCCCATTGCAACAAAGAGAATCGAGAATGCAACGCAGCCACTGCCTGACCCCTGAGATCTTCAGACGAAGAATGAGTAAATTGGAGCACAAGCGGGGAACAAGTTCCGCAAGACTTGCGGAACTTGTGAACCCCTGAAGCCACACACACACACACACACACACACACACACACACACACACACACACAACAGGATTGGTTCAATAGAAATTGCGAGAGGGCTAGAGACCGAAAGACACAAAAATGGAATCAATACAGGAAGAGGCCGAACCCCCAAACACCAGCGATACAAAGATGCCAGAAACAACTACACGGCAGTGAGGAGAGAGGCAGAAAGAAATTTTGAAAAAGGGATTGCGGACAAATGTAAAACAGAACCAGGTCTATTCTATAAATTCATAAACAACAAATTGCAGGTAAAGGATAATATTCAGAGGTTGAAAATGGGAAATAGATTCACGGAAGATGAAAAGGAAATGTGTGAAACACTAAACGAAAAGTTCCAAAGTGTGTTTGTACAAAATGAAATCTTTAGGGAACCAGATACAATAAGAATTCCAGAGAACAACATAGAACACATAAAGGTGTCTAGAGACGAAGTGGAAAAAATGCTCAAGGAGCTCGGTAAGAACAAAGCAGCTGGCCCAGATGGCGTTTCACCATGGGTTCTGAGAGAATGTGCATCTGAGCTCAGCATTCCACTTCACCTGATCTTTCAGGCATCCCTGTGTACAGGAATCGTAGCAGACGGGTGGAAACAGGCTAACATAGTTCCAATCTACAAAAGTGGCAGCAGGGAAGACCCCCTCAATTATAGACCTGTATCATTGACAAGTGTAATAGTGAAAGTATTGGAAAAACTAATCAAAACTAAATGGGTAGAACACCTAGAGAGAAATGATATAATATCAGACAGACAGTATGGTTTTCGATCTGGAAGATCCTGTGTATCGAATTTACTCAGTTTCTATGATCGAGCCACAGAGATATTACAGGAAAGAGATGGTTGGGTTGACTGCATCTATCTGGACCTAAAAAAGGCTTTCGACAGAGTTCCACATAAGAGGTTGTTCTGGAAACTGGAAAATATTGGAGGGGTGACAGGTAAGCTTCTATCATGGATGAAAAATTTTCTGACTGATAGAAAAATGAGGGCAGTAATCAGAGGCAATGTATCAGAATGGAGAAATGTCACAAGTGGAGTACCACAGGGTTCAGTTCTTGCACCAGTGATGTTTATTGTGTACATAAATGATCTACCAGTTGGTATACAGAATTATATGAACATGTTTGCTGATGATGCTAAGATAATAGGAAGGATAAGAAATTTAGATGACTGTCATGCCCTTCAAGAAGACCTGGACAAAATAAGTACATGGACACAACCTATATATTATGTGAGAAATCTTTAAAGAATTCTGATAAAGAAAGAGATCTAGGAGTGGTTCTAGATAGAAAACTATCACCTGAGGACCACATAAAGAATATTGTGCAAGGAGCCTATGCTATGCTTTCTAACTTCAGAATTGCATTTAAATACATGGATGGCGATATACTAAAGAAATTGTTCATGACTTTTGTTAGGCACACAGCTGTTGTGTGGTGCCCATAAAGAAGCAAAATCCGACTACCCAGCAAAACCCACTCCCCACCCGGGAAGACAAGACAGAAAGCCCAAGACCCCCCCAAATAGAGTGGTAGACGGTTGGAACAAGTTAAGTGAGAAGGTGGTGGAGGCCAAGAGGTGAAAACAACACCAAGCGATGAAGCACTCACTCAAATGGGAATGAGACCCCCAACATCCCAGGGAAGAGAACCCTGAAACACATGGGAAGTATTTACAGAAGGCCCCCCTATGAGCATGCAGCCCTGAGTACCAGAAACACCTGGCCACCTCACCATACACGCACAGCTGGTACAGCCACACAGGGCCAAATCCAGAACAAGAAAGCAAGGCCAGAGGTGACGTCCGATTGCCACGCACATCAGTCGAGAACTGAGGTGAGGAGCAGCTGGCTCGCCTAAGCTGGCTCCCCCTCCCTCTTTTTTTATGGGGGAGAGGTGCTAACGAGTGAGTGTGCTAGTTGGATGATGTTCTGCTTATTTGTTTTCTTTTGGGGGGAGTTATTTTGCCTTTTTCAGAAGTAGGTTGCAGTTTTAACTAGCTTTTAGAGGCCGGGCCGGCCGCGCGGATAGCACGCTGGGCATGTGATCCTGTGGTCCCGGGTTTGATCCCGGGCGCCGGCGAGAAACGATGGGCAGAGTTTCTTTCACCCTGATGTACCTGTTACCTAGCAGTAAATAGGTACCTGGGAGTTAGTCAGCTGTCACAGGTTGCTTCCTGGGGGTGGAGGCCTGGTCGAGGACCGGGCCGCGGGGACACTAAAAAGTCCCGAAATCAACTCAAGATAGCTTGTGGTTTGCTTCGTTTCGCCTATCTTTCTGGGTGCTTTTCCCAGTCAATGGCAAGTATGACATACTCTAAATGTACAGTGCTCATAGGCCATTGCTCCCTGCACCTCTCTAAGGGGACCAGGTTCTGGCTCGTGGTTCCTGGTAGGCGCAAGAACTCCCGTGACTGATGACCCCAAACTAATATTGAACATGTCAGTTTGGAGAGCTTCAGGGAGCTGACAGGGCTCCCCACATAAAACTGAAAATATGTTATTAAATAACTATCAAAGGAGAATTATTTGGAAAGCTGGATTACTGGATGTGACACAATATGATTCAGATATTTCAGGTTACAGTGTATAATTTAAACTTTAGTAATTTTGAAGATGAAAGGACTCACCTGTGTGTCCTGAAAGAGCCTGGAATGGTGTACCAGTAGCACAGTCAGTAACATATATCTTGCAGTCACCGGCACCGCCAGATATCAGAAGAGATGACTTGTTGCTCGAGTCTTCAATGAAGCACATGTCTCTTACTGTTCCATCATGCATCGTCAGCTCAACCTCTTGGCCTACACAACAATTCCACATGTAAATACAGCATTACACAAACTCTTTTCTATTATTCCATATCTTATCTCCCCTTTTCTGAGAGATTCTTGCATCAGTGCTAACCCAAATGCTTCAGCAAGTCATCCATATAAATCACTAAGAATACAGGTATAATCACTAATCAAATTACATAGCAGGCCATAAGTGACATGTCTGGCAAGTCTTAACAAGATTTTAGTCTAAAATATAACTGTAAACCAGCATGGAAATAATTAAGAAGCTTATAAAACAGGAAAACATTATACAGCATTAAAGTGTTACACATTACTAATAAAATAATGGGGTAATTACTCTTCATAATAATTTCAGAGCAACAGTACAGTACTATCATTTACAATCTTATCTTCACACACCTGTCATCCTCAATACTTTCCTTGTCTGACGTACATATGTCAAGGGCAAAATCAGAATTGAAAAACTAAACTTGTAATGCAGAATTTCATACTATGTATGCACTTGTACAAAGTACTGTGTTTATACTGTATTAGCTATAGAGATGCAGTAAACATCTTACCTTCATGTCCTGATATGCATTATGAACTATATCGTCAACATGAAGCTAAAGTGTGTCTCGGATACTGTAAATCTTGCTATACAAACTGTTAATATTGCTATGATCAGGCAACATCAGAATGGACAGAGAAGGGTTGGCCATCTATATATTATTGGACTGTCAGAAAGCTTTCAACACAGTACACCATAACAAAATTAGTGCCAAAATTAGAGAAACAAGCAGGACTACAGTGAAGGTTTTACAGTGGATAAAGGAGTGCATAAGCCATAGTAGTCAGACTAGAGAGTGGTGACACTTTACTAGTGAGGTCTCACTAGGACCTCTCTTGTTCCTGGTCAGTGTTACTAGTGAGGTCCCACTAGGACCTCTCTTGTTCCTGGTCACTGTTACTAGTGAGGTCCCACTAGGACCTCTCTTGGACCTGGTCAATGTTACCAGTGAGGTCCCACTAGGACCTCTCTTGGACCTGGTCAATGTTACCAGTGAGGCCCCACTAGGACCTCTCTTGTTCCTGGTCAATGTTACCAGTGAGGTCCCACTAGGACCTCTCTTGGACCTGGTCAATGTTACCAGTGAGGTCCCACTAGGACCTCTCTTGGACCTGGTCAATGTTACCAGTGAGGTCCCACTAGGACCTCTCTTGTTCCTGGTCAATGTAAATGATCTCCCACAGAGGGCAGACACCTCCCTCTCAATACAAATTATGAGGATAAGATGGACTACAAGATACCACACAAGGACTTGGATAAACTGAATAAAAATGGTCCAACAAATTACTTGTTGGCCTGTCCCAACTGTGGGAATTTTCCCATGTCACTTATAAATTCCTGAATACAATATGCAAAATAAAATTATTGCTGTTTTGTATTAATCAAATATTAATCAAATTAAATTCGTTAATCTTGTAAAGGATGGCGTACCTGACTAATTCATTACAGAAAGAGATTATACTGCCACGTTGCTGAAATTAATTTTACACTCAAATAGTATTAATCAATTTAATACTAAACCCAACAGTCTGATGACAAACTAATAAATGCACTTCCCTAAATTAAACAAAATTATCAGTTATTAAATGAATTAGAATAAACTCCCCCTTCCGATTACTAATAAAAACGTATTAAGGGAGGCGTTACTGGTGTGGGGACCGAGGACGCCATTATAATTGTTGTAACTAGAGAGCCAGCACAAGCAAAACCCGCTCATAATACACAGTGTACCGCTGGTATTAGAAGTAAATACCTATGAAATTGAATGTCTTCGACCACAACATCATCAGGAAAGTGCTTGCTATATCTGCCTTCTCCTTTATGTACCCATTTGGCCATTTAGTAAATGTTATAAAGGATGGGAGTCATGCTGCCTAACCACCTATCTCTCCGGGATGAATGTTAATTATAACTCGAGTAGACTGAGTTATTTAACATGCAATAATAATAATAATAATAATAATAATAATAATAATAATAATACATTGTGCTAGGCTGTACAGTATTGTAACCTTATAAAATAAAATCCAAATAAAAATATATTGCACTCTGTCCTATTGCACATTATATATTCTAGAATCTAGTGCCAACCCATAATAGGGTAGAATATAGAGTGGAACCTCGTTTTTTGTATGGCCATGTTTTCAAATTTTTCAGCACTCGAGTTCAATTTTTTTTTTAAATTTGATTCAGTACTCGTTGTTTGCCGCAGTGTTCGGAGTTTGTTTATACACGTACGGGTCCATCGCGCCTCACTTTACCAGCGTCCTACCGAGGTGACAAATCATGCTTGAATTCTTTGTGAAGAATTTCATTGTTTTTGGTCTATTTAGTTTCTGAACATAAAATTAATTATTATATATCACACCATGGGTCCCAAGAAAGTCAGTGGTAAAGCTCAACCTAAGAAAATAGTTGTAAGGATGATGTAGAGGAAAAAACAAGAGATCATTCATAGTGAGACAATGTGATGTCTCACTACAGACAAGTGTTAAAATGTAGAGAAAAACAAGTGTCTATAGACAGATTCTTAATAAGACAAGAAAGCAGTGAGCCACAACCAGGTCCTAGTGGTATGGCTGTAAAACGTAAGAGAGAGAGTACCCCAGAAATGTCATCACTGCCTGATGTTATAATGGAAGGGGACTCCCCCTTCCAAACACTAACACCTCTCTTCCCCCCCTTCCTCACTGTCTTCCATACGCCAACAAGAGTCCTCCATAAAGGTAAGGTACCTATGAGTAGTTTTCTGTATAAAATATATTTTTTAGTTAATATTTTTGTGGGTGAGGAACGGATTAATTCAATTTACATTATTTCTTATGGTAAATTTCGTTTCGCTTTTCGAACCGTCTCTAGGAACAGACTGAATTCGAAAACGGAGGTACTGTACCACTGTATTACCATTGGCTAGTGTTGAATTAAATAGTGAACATCCTAGTTCCATTTAATTACTGTGCCAACCCACATTAGGGTAGGATATATTACCACTGACTTAATTAAATAGTGAACAACCTAACCCCATTTAATTAATGTGCAGACCCTAATTAGGGTGGGCCTATTAACAAAAGTTGTATTGTACCCAAAATTATACTACTGTACACATACACCTACATCCTACAAGAGGTAGGATCATAGCCTAGTGACTGAAAATTAATCACCCTAGGCAACTACTATAACTTGCTCAGTAATTATGAACAAATACCCCAGTTATTTCCATTTAGAAAATCATAGGACCAACAAAACTAAATCAAGCAGCAAGTACAACAGACGAAATGTTTATTACCAGTACGTTGTTCCACAAATCATACGCGAGTTACAAAAGACCTGTGATGAAGCAGCTGAACAAGACTGAGCAGTTTGCCGAGTCCTCAAATGTGACTCCCAAATTACTAGAAAGCCACATAGAGGTGGCCAAACAAAAATACAAAGGCTGCTGAGGCAATGAACTATCATGTTTAAAGCCTCTACCAACAAAATAATCCAGACAGACTAGACACCTTCCTCACCAAAACGGCACAATTTGAGGAGATCCAAGATCGTCTAGATTTATACAACTATTAGAACAATTAAATATAAACTCTGTCTCTCAAAATGCTCTAACCACAAATGGAGCAAATACATTTAACCCCATCAATAAAGTTCGTCTACCTCCCATTGATTTGCCAGAATTTCATGGCAGGAACAATGAAAACTTTAAATGTTACTGAAACTGATTCATTAGTTAACTCTCAAGGTTCCATTAACACAGCAAAAAAACTCCTTTATTTGCGAAGTACTTTGAGGGGAGAAGCGAAGGCAGTTATTGACCATCTGCTTCCCACCAATGACGACTACAATACTACGTACATGTGTTACAGTACAAGTCAACTATTTTAACAATGAGATTGCTATAGCCAATCTCTACTATAAACAGAGAGCTATACCAACACCAGATACAACACCTGAGGCTATACAAGACTCCAAGTGGAGTCTCTAGTCAATGCTCTCGCTGCTTAGGCTGATGTGTCTCGAGCAGAATGGGTGTTGAATTTAGAGATTCAGAGAAAATTCCTGAAAGAGATCTTAGCATCTCTCTGCTCTCACTATATATGATAAAGGAAATATATGATAAAGGCACAACAAAATTTATACCAAAACAGAGAAGCAGAACTAGGAAACAGGATTGGTTTAACAGAAAGTGCGAGAGGGCCAGAGACCAAAGGACACAAAAATGGAGTCAATACAGGAAGAGGCCGAACCCTCAAACATACCAGCGATACAAAGATGCGAGAAACAACTACACGGCAGTGAGGAGAGAGGCAGAAAGAAATTTTGAAAAAGGAATTGCAGACAAATGTAAAACAGAACCAGGTCTATTCTATAAATTCATAAACAACAAATTGCAGGTAAAGCATAATATTCAGAGGTTGAAAATGGGAAATAGATTCACGGAAAATGAAAAGGAAATGTGTGAAACACTAAACGAAAAGTTCCAAAGTGTGTTTGTACAAAATGAAATCTTCAGGGAACCAGATACAATAAGAATTTCAGAGAACAACATAGATGCTCAAAATGAAAAATGATGAAAAATGCTCAAGGAGCTAAATAAGAACAAAGCAGTTGGTCCAGATGGAGTTTCACCATGGGTTCTGAGATAATGTGCACCTGAGCTCAGCATTCCTCTTCAACTGATTTTTCAGGCATCCCTGTATACAGGAGTTGTAGCTGATGTGTGGAAAAAGGCTAACATAGTTCCAATCTACAAAAGTGGAAGTAGGGAAGACCCCCTTAATGACCGGTATCATTGACAAGTGTAATAGTCAAAATATTGGAAAAAATAATTAAAACTAAATGGGTAGAACACCTGGAGAGAAATGATATAATATCAGACAGACAGTATGGTTTTCGATCTGGAAGATCCTGTGTATCAAATTTACTCAGTTTCTATGATCGAGCAACAGAGATATTACAGGAA